TCTGTGCTAAACTTTATACTGATGCTGGTCTTTGACCATAATAAAGAAATAATAATAATAATCCTTCAGGAAGGGTCATATTCCATCTTGCTTAAAGGAAAAACCTTCTGAAAAAACCTTCCCTGGACCCCCTGGAAATGAACAATTATAGGCCAGTCTCTTTGCTACCATTTTTGAGCAAGGTAATCGAGAGGGCGGTTGCTCTTCAACTCCAAGCTGTCCTGGATGATACCGATTATCTAGACACATTTCAAACTGGCTTTAGAATGGGATTTGGAGTTGAGACTGCCACGGTTGCCTTGGTCTATGATCTGCATCTAAGAATCGACAGGGGTAGTGTGACCCTATTGGTGTTTTTGGACCTCTCAGAGGCTTTTGATACAATAGATCATAGCATCCTCTTGAATCACCTGAGTGGATTAGGAATCGGAGGCACTGCGCTCCAGTGGTTCCATTTCTTCATCTTGGGCAGGTCCCAGAGGGTGCTGCTCGGGGACAGTCGCTCAAGTAAAAAGGAGCTTACTTGTGGCATCCCCCAAGGCTCCATTCTGTCCCTGATGCTATTCAAAATCTATATGAAGCTGCTGGGTTATGATCATTTGGAGTCATGGAGCTGGATGTTATCAGTATGCTGATGACACCCAGATCTATTTCTCCATGTCTTGATCGTCAGCCTTGACTCCCGATGGCATCTCTCCTCTCAATGACTGTCTTAAGGCAGTAATGGGCTTGATGAGGAAAAAAAGATTGAGAGTGAATCCAGACAAAACAGAGGTGCTAACAGTAGCGGTCCTGAAACCAGCTATGGGGTTGCAACCTCCAGTCCTGGATGGGGTTACACTCTCTGTCAAGGACTGTGTTTGCAGTCTGGGGGTGCTCCTTGATTTGTCACTCTTGATGTCTAATCAGGTTAACGCGACGGTCAGGAGTGCCTGTTATCAGCTTCGGCTGATACTCCAGCTGCACCCTTTCATGGAAGTAAGGCACCTTGAAACTGTGGTGCATGTGTGGGTAACCTCTCATCTAGATTTCTGTAATGTGATCTACATGGGGCTACCCTCGTGCTTGGTCCAGAAACTTCAATTAGTACAATATATGGCAGCCAGAGTGGTTTCAGGAACATCTAAGAGGGACCACATAACCCCAGTATTAAAGTCCCTCCACTGGCTGCCTATTAGTTTCTGGGCCCAGTATAAGGTGTTGGTTATTACCTTTAAAGCCCTAAATGGCTTGGCTCCAACTTATCTTCGGGACCGCCTCCTCCCATACAATCCTCCCCACGCACTCTGGTCCTCTGGGAGGAATTTGCTTCAGCCAGTAAAATCATGGCTGTCTGCTACCTCCCAGAGGGCATTTTCAGTAATCACCCCCAGATTATGGAACTGCCTGCTGAACGAGATCCGTCAGATCACGAGCTTAAGCAGCTTTTAAAAAGCTGTGAAGACGGATCTCTTTCGGCAGGCATTTCTTGATTAGATCCCAGCCTCAGGAGCCACTCGTCCCTGCCTCTTTTTTTAGTTTTAGTCTTTTTAGTTTTTGGCTCACCCTCTGCTCTCGTTTGTTTTATAGTTGCTCCAATGATTTTAATTTATCTTGTTATTTTATGCTATGATTTTAATGGATGTGTATTTTAATACATTTTTAAGGGGGGGAGGGGAGGGTTTCTGGGTTGTTTCTTAATCTGCATTTTTGTGTAATTTTTAACTTTTGTAAACTGCCCCGATTGTTTGACAGAGGGGCGGGGTATAAATAAACTCTATTATTATTATTATTATTATTATTATTATTATTATTATTATTATTATTAACCTTATCATGGGGTTTGGCAAGATTTGTTCAGAGGAGGTTTGCCATAGCCTTCCCCTGAGGCTGAGATCATGTGACTTGCCCAAGGTCACCCAGTGGGTTTCATGGCTGAGCTGGGAATTGAACCCAGTCTCCAAAGTCAGAGTCCCATGCTTAAACCACTGTGCCACATCCACTCTCATACGTCTCATCCCCCTTGAAACCTCTCCCAACTGGTGACCATCACTGCATAATCATGATATTGGTAGCCATCACCATCACCAAATTCTATATTTTAATCATGCAGAACTACTTCCTTTTGTCTGTTCTGAATCTCCCATCATTAACCTTCATAGAAATATGTGACCACTTTGCCACCTTCACTTTCTCAGAGCTCTGAAGAAAACAGTCTTTGAATGGGCGCTTTTTGCCACCCCAAATAGGGACAAAATGTGGGCAACTTTTCCCCTTGGCATAAGGGATATCAGGAGACCCTCACAGAGGCTCAGTACCCAGCTCAGACATGTCTGATTTGAGAGAAAGAAAGGAGAAGGTGAAAACAACTGCAGAGAGCTAGAGGGAGGTACAGGGAATAGCCAAGTCCCGTTTGAGCGGTAGAGCCACCAAATGCAGCTGCTGGCTTCTATTTCTTTTTTCTTATCAACTAAAGAATACAAAATAATTAGCTTGGAGTACTATAGGCTGATTCGAGACAGTGGAAGTTTATAAAGGATTTTTTTTTCTACAATATAATATTTGCAGAAACATCAAGTGGGGGGAAAACCTGCAGCAATCAACAAAGACCTTAAAGCAAAAGGTAAATGAACATTGACCATACGAATCCAAAAGACAACTGTATAAAAGGACATAGTTAGTGACCACTAACAGACTACAAAGTAAGTGATTCCAATATCAATAATAGTTACTAAGGGCCTCGGCAGATGGCTAATAGAGCCATCTTGGAGGCAGGGAAGGGGAGGGGCAGCCGCATGCTCGGCATCCCATCCCTCTCTCGAGGTCGTCCTCGGAGCTGCCGGCCCTCCACACAGCTGGCGTTCCGGACATGCGGCGGAAAAGTCAGTGAAAGTGCACCACAATTTTTTCGCACTATTTTAGCACTCCTTTCAGGGGTGGCAAAGGTGCGCTGCAGGATCGAGGCATGGGGATGCCTTGGTCCCACGGTGCACCTTCCCAGGGTGGCCCACAGCCACCAGTCTGCTTAGCCCCTTCGAGAGACTGTAAAGACTTTAAATAGTGTTATGTAATTAAAGAAAAGAATTTCTCAACATCAGCTGTAATAATTACTTGCAGAATTACTTTCAGAAAAAGAGACAGCTGCTTTACTTGTAACATTGCAGAGGAAGTGAGAGATAAACAAAGTTTACATAGAAATAAATAAACAAAAAGCTAAAAAGCCAAAAAACAGAGGTATTAAATTTGTGGACTTAAGGATATCTTTAAAGAACAACCATAAGAACATTTAAAGATTCAGAAAAGAATTTAGCTTTTTCATTACTTGACTTGCTCTTGTCTCTGGAAATGAATGACGATTGGATAAAACCTTGGACTGACCTTTAAATTGAATATTTAAAGGATTTTAGAGCAGCAAAGGAACAAATACAAAAAGCATTTGAAGAAAATAAGCAACAACTATAAAAGAAAAATAATACACCTTTCTATTAACTTTTCTACCTTTTTCTTTCCATTTGTTTCATTTAAGAAGAGTAAAAAAAAATTAGATCAAAAAAGGAAAGCAAAATAAATAAAAAATAAAAATTAATAAGAAATAAGCAAAAAGAAAGTGGACAAAATGACTTCAATGACTTCAAGAAAAATAGCAGCAGCCCAATCATTAGTTCAAACCCCAAAAAGAGCCTCAATTGAACAAAATTTCTTCTTGGAGGAAATAAGAAAAATTCAAATACAAATGGGGGAAAATCTAAAGCAAGAGATTAAAATATTAAGAACAGATCTTAAAGAGAATATAAAATCAGAACTTAAGACTAAATTAAAGGAAGTGAAGCAATCATTAAAAGAAGTAAAGTAGGATATAAAAAGTACAAACATAAGAATAGCAAATTTAGAAGAAAAAACTAAGGAAATGGAGGAAATAACAGAATTGAAAATACTAAAAGAAATAGAAATAGAAAATAAGGCTTTGGAAGAACAGAAACAGAAGGGAAACTGTTTAAAGATCAGAGGACTAAAAGAAGAGAAAAATGAAGATCTATATGAATACTTAGTACCAGCCCTAGCAGAATTTGTGGAACAAATGAAACAAGACAGGATGTGGGAAATAAATAAATTGTTCAGGATAAACTCTCAGGTGGCAAAAGAAAAAAAATCTGTCCAGAGACGTGGTGATTTACTTTCTAAGGAAAAAAAAACAAGAGATGAGATAAAGTTATCTAAAGGATGTAATTATAGAAGACAAGGTGATCAGAATATACAAAGATATTTCTAAAAGAAAAAGATAAGGATTTAAATTCTTAACTACATAACTTAATAGAAGAAGAATTACATACAGATGGGAAAAATTAGAAGGTATATCAATCAAGTTTAAACAAAAATGGTACAAACCTAATACAATTCAAAAAGTATAAGAGTTCTGGACGGAACATAAATCAGAATTTGAAAATTGTTCATCATCATGAATAGAAGAAGGAAATGATGAAGAGAAAAAGATCCAACATGAAGCTCAAGAAAATCAAAGCAGAGAAGAACTAGAAGGGGAATCTGAATTAGAACACGAAACAGAATTAGAAGACCTGGAAGGATATCCAACTCAATCTGAAGATGAAGAACAAAAGGATGAAACTGCAGATAAAATGGGAAGGAAAAGCAGGAAAAGAAAAGAAGAACCAGAAGTAACAACAGATTAACAAAAAAATAAAAAAGGAAAATCTTTAGAGAAAAGAATTTAAAAAGAAGGAAACATTGTACCATATAATGAAAACAACAATAGGATTGAACAATCTATACAAAATTAATATTGCATCATGGAATGTAAAAGGCATGAATACACCTGAAAAAAAAAAGGGGGGGGATATACCATTACCTAAGAAAATTCAAATATGACATCGTTTATCTTCAGGAAACACACATCAGAATAAAAAATAAAAGACTATTGAGAAATAAAAAGTTGGGGAAAGAATATATATCATCCCTAGTCAAGAAGAAAAGAGGCATAGTAATATATGTATCAGAAAAGTTGTAATCAAAAGAAATTTTCAAGGAAAATCAAGGACAATACATTAGGATTGAAACATCTATACAAGAGGGGGGGAATTAATTGTGGGAATTTATGCACCCCAGGATAAAAGACAAATTCTATCAAAAATTACTGACTGTCATTCAAGAACTTGACTACTAAAGTATAATCATTCTAGGAGACTTGAATCCTAAACTTGATAAGACAGCTGGGAAAAACATTAAACCAAATCAAGGTAAGCTCCCACAATCTTTCTTTAATTTAATAGAAAATTTAGGTTTAATTGAAGTTGGAGACACCTTTATGGAGATGCTAGAGATTACACTTTTTTCTCAAAAAGACATAAATCCTTTTCAAGGATTGATTTGTGTTTAGTTTCTAAAGTATTGTGTACCAGGATTTTAAAAATGATCATAATTCAATCACAATGTCTCTTAGGGCTGTTGCAGACTGACCCAAAGGGCTGGCCTGGGGGTACAGTTGGGGGGGCAGCTGCACACCAGCCACCCCAACCCCACCTTGATGCCATCCTGACACCCTTCCAGCACAGTGTTTAAACACGCTGTGTCAAAAGGGCGCTGAAGAGCATCTGCATCTGCTCTTAGGGGGTCTTTTGCCACCCCTAAAAGGAACGGCATTTTGCCACTCTTTTCAGGGTGGCAAAAGAGAGGAATGGGGCTGAAGTGTGGGGTTGCCATGACCCCGATCTGCAGCTTCCTGGGGCAGCTCTGTGCCGCCCCAAACACCCGATCTGCATCGGACCTTAGAGAATTAAAAATGGATTATAATTGGAAGCTTAATGAAAATCTGCTAAACAATCAGGAAATATTTTTTTAAAAACCAAACAAATTGTAAAAATTATATTTTGAATAAAAGCTAGATAAAGGAGTAAACATAACAACCATATGGGAAGCAAGTAAAGCAGTTATGTGTGGCTCCTTTATTTAGAAGAATTAGGAAATTAAAAAGAAACAAAAGGAAAAGACACAAAAAATGTCAGAAATTTGGAGTAAAGAACAAATACTACAGGAAGAACCAACAAACAAAAAACTGCAAAAAGAACTCAAGATCTTACAGAAACAATGATCAATAGAAATGTCAGAAGAATTGGCAAACAAATTGAAATATGCAAAACAAAAATAATTCCAACATGGAAATAAACTGGGGGAAAAGCTAGTACAAGATCAAAGATTAGGTGGGGACAGATACAAAGCTGTAGAAGAAAAAATTGAGGATGAGAATCAATATACTTAGCGATTTTCAGGGTTTTTTCTTTTTTTATTTCTTCTTTTTTGATTTCTCTCTGTTAGTCAGTGGCAGAAGAATATTTACATAGGTTTAAAAACAAACAAAATAACTAAAGAAAAAAGTACACTGTTGGATTTCTACACATTACTCTCCACAGAAAATAGCAAAAGCAGTATAAATATGTTACTCAAATTTACGTTGTAAATTTAGAAATATATGGAAAATAGGCAGGAATGTGTGGAAGAAAAATAGAATTAGAAAGATAGAAAAAGACTAACTAGATACAAAGAGACTTCAAAACGAAACCTCAAAGGTCATAGTCAAGGAAGTAATGAGTATTATTATGTATTGTGTAATGTAAGTAAATATATGTGGTTTGTAGAGATGGATTTTAGGGGGTGGAGAGAGGAATGTGAGAATGTAAGGTGTTTTATATGTTTTTGTTTGTAACTGAATTATTAAAGACAGTAAAAAGGTAAAAAAAATCATTTACACAGAGGAGGCTGTGTGACTTACCCACATGGTGAATTTGTAAACTGAGACAAGAGCAAAACAAACTCACTCAATGTGTGTATGTACCTTCAGTCATACTTCAACTTATGGCAACTCCATTAATTACATAGGATTTTCTTAGGCAAGGAAAACTCAGAGGCGATTTTGCAAATTCCTTCCTCTGAAATATAGCCTACTGCTCCTGGGTATTCTTTGGTAGTCTCCTGTCCAAGTACTGTCCTTG